GTATACCTATATGTCTGTGAATTATTCTACAATTCTAGCATGGTACCATTCAGCGGTTTTGCTGAGCGTGTAGTTTGTATTTTTCGTTGACTACACGTAGGTAACAACTCCTCGAGGGCAATGAGTCGGAGGAGATGCAGGGATTGCACGAAAATGTTTGATCATCATGAATTTAAATGTGTCATATTTTGATTATTGTCATTTTCAAATGTCAAGCGAAATTTTTATTAAACTCCGGTTTCACCTTAATACGTGTAATTCCGCGTTATACGGATTAGGGTGTTACACAACTAGCCGATCTTCAAACAACAGAAATCTGCTTCTGCGAGATTCAGTCGCCGCTCTCTGATTGGGACTAATTTTGGTCCAGTTGGGGTACACATTTTGGTCCAACTTTCTCCGAATTGAATTCCGTTTTCACCGTTGCAATCAGACAGTCGAACTCTATCCAACGATATAATTTTTATATTTATTTGGAATACTTTTCACATGCCATATTTTTGGGTGTTTGACATTGACACAATCAAAATTGGTTTAATTGACCTTTATTCAAAAAAGTTCTCACATTTAATTCATATCATTTTTTCTCATGATTTATTTATTTATTCTTCATTTGGGTATGTACTCAGGTTCCCAATCAAGACCACACAAATAGTCAACATATTGGATTTATCTCTATGAGATTTATCATGATTGTGATATAGGATATCAAAACACCTTTTATCTCGGCCCAAAGCCCAACAATAATTTGTTTTAATCAAAACAAAATTGATTAATTGAATAATTGTTCATTAATAATTCTAGGGTATGTGTTGGGGCGTTACATTTCTCCACCCTTAAAGGAATTTTGTCCTCAAAATTCTTCCAAGGTTCACAATCAACATCTTGTTGTATTCATGACTGCTCATGTTCACAGGGTTACGTCGTTATCTTACAGATACATATTCTCAAACCGTTGATGTCACCAAACTCGTTCAACCTTTGAGAGATTAAGAATCTTCGATCAAGAAATTCACTGATCCTTTGGTATTGATGACAAAAGTTTCTTCATAGTGTAGAATTGTTCAACAGAATTCTTTTCTCGATTGAAAAGTTCTTCAATAGCCTTTGTAATAAGGTTCACCATAGTCATAGTTGGGAATTTGGATGTTATTTCAATTCATACGTCGTAATGTAATCTTTCAAGTTACTCAAGGGTTCGTTGTCTTAGGGCATTAGACTTTTCGTCTCGAATTTGTACATATTTCACGACAGTGAATCTAACTGTTCATAAGTCTCGATATGTCATATCGTCAGCAGATTGTAGTATTGGCGAGTACGTCATTGTCAGTAAGTAAATCAAAGCGAATCCACTTTTCTGTACGTATTTTGGCTAGCGATAATTACCTTTTCCATCAATGGTCAGGTTTCAGAGGCTATATATTTCACGATTGTGGCAAAAGCATCTTATATTCTCAGATTATGGAAGGAACGTCTCAAACACTTCATTACACCATAAAATCAATTGGTCTACGTGGTATTCATGCTCTTTGTTGAAATCCAAGATTCATGGGTATGGAAGTTGAATTAGGAAGGAAATTATTACAACGAAGAAATAGAGTTACTTATGGAGGAGGCAACGTTGGCCTTCAAGGAGCTGTTGCTTCAACAGTCTATAACAATGGTGGTATAGTCAGAGGTTTCATACAAGGGCATATAGCATCACGAGGGGTCTACGGTCCAATGTATGGTGTAGAGTACACAATTTCCAGTACCTATTGTAAGTACTTCTAGATGAACCATGTTGTGGAGGCTTTCATCGTACTTCCCGAAGGAGTTGATACTATCGAAGGTTTGTTCACCTTAATCTCATGGGCATCTGAAGGGTTGCACAGCAGACCCATTGGTCTCTTAAATATTGACGGTTATTTCAATAACCTAATCAAATTTCAAGATGATGCGGTGAGATAGAACTTCATGTTGGAGTTGTGCCCTGATGGCCAACTGTTTATCATTATTCTATCATGTATAGGCAGATATAATGTGTTTACACATCTCATGCTAATGTAAACAAATATTATATTCCTAGATATATATTTAAAGATGTTTATCAGATAGTGTTATTCTGTTGATGAGACTAACATCTTGAAATAAATATTTATCTAAATGTCCATAGTCGAGTATTAACGAGAGTGGGATATCGTTAATGCATGTAAGACTAGTGTGTGTTGGATGTTTGACTTAGTCTCATGGTCAATGGCGGTGTGTTCGCATCCGCACATGGGCAGATATTATCTAGAGATAATAGGATGCCGGACTGACCCATTCTAAAGATGTTGCTTGAATTTTTAGTTCATGCTCTAAGCATCTTTAGCGCGACCACGGGTGTAACTATTGTTGAAACACGGGCTTGTCACGTTTTAGTAATAAAGCCGTGTTCGTTTTTGTAACAGGTTTTGATAATGCCAAACCGCCGTGATCAAGTCAAACATTGAATATACAAGGCAAAGAATGAAGATAAGAGCAAGAGCTAAACGAAGACCAAGAACGAAGACCTTAATCATAGTATTGAGTCGGTCTTTATTGTGATCAAGACCGACCCAATCTTTACACTTTGGCTCTTTAGGCTAAAAACTCTCATTGCATTTCATACATCATAAAAATGGTTTTAAACTTGTTTAAGTCATTAAAAAAAATGCTTGGTGTTCGCCCAAACCAAAAACCAAGCCATCCAGTGTTCGGCTTTCAGAAACCAGCGTTCGGCTTTCGGTTGTCGGGTTTGGTTTTTGGCATCCGAACCAACCAAGTGGTTTTCAGCATTTTATGATCTGCTTTTACTCTTTGGCATGTTTAAACGGTTCTCCAACAAAAACACCTTGAAAACCATCTCTCGCTATTAGTCGTTTGACAAAAACCACGCAAAACGGCGTAAACTTGTCTAGCCGTGGTTTTTACTCAAATGACGTGATTTTTAGAGTGTATCACTTGATTTATTAGCCAAATACATCAAATAAGTGTTTTAAACACTTAGTTTTTATTTTGGAGAACTTTGGATTTTTCGGTCGGTTTTTGCATCGGTTGGCTAGGCTGTGGTTAAGGCAAAAACCATAGGTTTTTGGCTAACCACCCACCCAGCGATGGGAAGAACATCCCATCGATGGGTAAGTAGCCCCTTAGCCAAACCAACTTCCAGAACCATGCCAAACAGCGATGGGAAGCTCTACCCATCGCTGTTCAAGCCTTGGTGCAAAATTACCACAAGGCAGAACGACCTTGCCCAGCGATGGGAAGTCTATCCCATCGATGGGAACCCAGCGATGGTAAGGGTATACCATCGATGGGAAGGCATGACCGTTGGTGGTCATTAAAGGTTGATTCTTTCCTTGTTTGGAAGTCAACCTCCCACCCAGCGATGGGAAGCTTGTACCCATCGATGGGTAGGTAACCGTTGGCTTCAAAACTGAAG